GGCGCCTTAGCCGGTTGAGCTATAGGCGCCGAGCCCCAGCTAATTTTTCAGAATCAAGAAAGCAAAGTTTTAAAGACTGACATGAAAGATTTTTTGAAAAACCCTTTCAAAAGCAGATCAGCTCTCTATTTTTGGTCTTTTGATTCTTAGAAATTTTCTGCTATTGCTAGTTTTAAGAAAATGAAAAGATAAAGTCAAAAGAATGAACCTTGGTATCAGGTTTTGGAAATAGTTTTAATCAGTGGGTTTGAGCCCCAGCCTTGGTTCAGCTTCAGTTTAGCTCATTTACAGTAAGTAGAAGAACAGATGGTTGAAAATTAGCTGTAGCTTCCTGCTTTGTAAATATTTTTTAAAACATACGGGATTGTTTTCTTTCTTTCTTTCTTTTTGTTGTTTGTTTGGTTTTTTTGAGACAGTCTCACTATGTTGCCCTGGGTAGAGTGCTATGGAATCACAGCTCACATCAACCCCAAACCCTTGGGCTTAAGCGATTCTGTTGCCTCAGCCTCCCAAGTAGCTGGGACTGCAGGCAGCTGACAACGCCCAGCTATTTTTTGGTTGGAGTTGTCATTGTTGTTTGGCAGGTCTAGGCTGGATTCAAACCCACTAGCCTTGGTGTCTGTGGCTGGTGCCCTAACCACTGAGCTACAGGTGCCAAGCCAAGGGATTGTTCTTAATTAGTCTCCTCTGGAAGGTTGTCAGTCAGTTTTTCTATTTTTCTAAAGTAGTTAAATGGCATAGACTGCTTGTTTAACTCAACACAGTTTAGTCTTGTTTGCAAAAATGAATTGTTGTTTGCTAAGTCCAGTTTCCTGTCTGCTAGACCCTTTGCTCACATCTGACAGTTTCCTTTTCCCTGGTGTTAGACAAGACTACTTTAATACATTTTAAAGGGTGTCCTTTAGTTCTGGTATTTTTCCTATTAGGAAAAAGCCATCCTAGAGTGACTGATAATCAGGAAAGTTGGTTATTGGCTCAGCTGTCTAAAAAAGACACCTCTTTTATCTTATCAGTCTCACCCCCAGCCTGCCAGCTCTTTCATATCTACATTTACCTTTTGAAAAGCTATAGGGTGTTTTTAGTGGTATTCAAGCAACAAAACACTTCAAAATCATGAGAACTCCACAAAATACTGATCTATCAAATGTACAAGTAATATTTTTTATTAGATTCTAGTAGCAGAAAGGGATAACAGTCACCCATGATTTAATAATGTTAATGAGAGTAACTTTTTTCCTCACCAGTTGCCTGTTGTTCAGTTTAGCGCTCTCCCCTAGCACAAGTGGCAGACCCCATTCTGCAGAGCCGCAGTTTGTGACTCAGGGCTGGCTGGGGTCTCATTTCAGACAGATGAGGTGTTCTAGCCCTGCTGCCACCTATAAGCTCTGTCATCTGGGGAACCAATTTTTCTTCCCCTCTTTGACGTCATTTCCTCATTTGTAAGTAGAGCTGTCACCTGCCTTGTAACATTGTGAGCATGAATTGGCATAATGTGTTTGAAAGGACCTTACTTTGTGCCTGGCACACTCAAGGGCTCATTTCAGAAATTTTTTTTTTGCTTTTCCTTACCAAATCTGGTTCCCTTTGTATTGTGTTGTAGGTTTGGAGCTTTTTGTAAGTATTCTTACATATGCATTCAGTAAAGGGTTGGACAGTATGGGGACTCTATGTCCAGGAAGGCATTATAGGGACACTAGCCCAGGGATGTTCGTCTGGGTGGATCCCATCCTCGAGATAAATGAGAAGTATGTACTCATGTGTCTCTAGGGTAAATAAATCAATACTATAGAATTTTACTTTTAAAAACCTTAATTTTGATTAAGATATAGTTTATACTTTGTTTTTTTTGCAATTTTTGGCCAGGGCTGGGTTTTGAACCTGCCACCTCTGGCATATGGGGC